CTTTTCTATGATTTGAGCCATGCCTTTGATACAATAGATAGAAATTTACTATTGCAAAAATTAGAGGCCATAGGTGTCCATGGAATACCACTCGATTGGGCTAAATCATATCTATCCAATCGAACACAAATATCAATGTTCAATATCATCAAATCCCAACCAAGAGAGTCCAGGCTAGGAGTCCCCCAGGGGTCAATCCTAGGTCCCTTATTTTTTATTATATTTACATCTGATATCAAAAGGTGTTGTCACCTTTCAGAACAAATGGTACTGTATGCTGACGACACCAATATCTTGATGTCCAATAAGGATACTGAACAACTAGTTACAAATAGTAACGCAGCTTCTGAAGAATTCAATAAGTATTGTTCTCAAAATGGACTTCAACTTAATGTTACAAAAACATTTTTCATGCGATTCATACCACGAAATTTATCACCAGATTATGACCTCTATTTACATATTCAAGGCAAATCAATTCAATCCACAGACACTATGAAGTTTTTGGGAATCACACTTGATCCAAAATTGACATGGGAGCCACATATAAGCAGAGTTTGTTCTAAACTAAGTACATGCTGCTATATAATTAGAAATTTAAGAGAAACAGTATCGTTTGATGTACTAAGACTGTTGTATTTTGGCCTGGTACAATCAACTTTACAATATGGACTGATATTTTGGGGATCATCAGCACACTTTGAGAAAGCTTTCATCGCTCAGAAAAAAATCATAAGAATCATGTTCAATGTTCATCCATCGACTACCTGTAATAATCTCTCCATTAGAGCACAAATAATGACTTTACCTAGCCTATTTATCTATTGCTTGGTTATCTACATTCGAGCTAATGAGCATAAGTTTGAGAAGAATGAGGATATACACTCGCATAATACAAGATCAAAATGTGATATTCATCAAAGTTACTCACGTCTACAAATATGTCAAAATTCACCTAATTATATAGGAATCAAAATATATAATAAGTTTAAACTTATATACAAAAATTATGAAAACTATAACATATCATTTGAGACTATACTTAAAAGATTCCTACTTGAAAATGCATTCTATTCCATAGAGCATTTTCTTCAATTTTGAAATGGTTTTACTTATTTTTTAATTTTGTTGTGAACGTATTTATAATAATTACTTTGAAATGATTTTAACTTATATTTTAATCAATTTGTGAATGTATTTATATTGATTATTTGTTCGATTTTTAAACTACTATATACTTGAATCTTGACTAGGCTGATAAGTGTTATGCATTTTACTTATGTACAACCTATAATGCTGCAATAAATCATATCATAAGGAGTGTTTTCCTTGATCAGCTATTCAATAACTCTAGCACAATCAGTTGAAATTGGAAAAATGCTCGGAAGAATGTGAATTCAGATGATATATTTCCCAAAAATAGCAGTTGTGATGGAAAATATTCAAAAGAAAATTGATTTTAAGGACAATAAATGCCAATGTGATGACTAACAAGTGTTTTCATGGCTCTAATATTTGATAACCTCAGCACAAACAGTTTAAATTGGAAGAATGTGGATTCAGGTGATGAATTTTTCAAAAATAGTACAGTTTTGATGGGGAATATTCGAAAGAAAATTTATTATAAGGACATAAAATGGCAATATGATGACCAACATTGGCAATATGATGACTAACGAGTGTTTTCTTTGATCTATTATTTGATAACTTCAGCATAATCAGTTGAAATTTGAAGAATGTGAATTCGGATAATATATGTTTCAAACTAGGTTTCAAAGACAGTACCATTGTGATGGGAAATATTCAAAATAAAAATTATTATAAGGACAGAAAATGGCACTTTGATGAATCCAGTGTGCTTTGTGTATCTACAATTTGATAACTACAGCACAATCCGTAGAAATTGAAGAAATGTGGATTCAGGTTATATAGTTTTTCAGAAATAGTACTATTCTTGACTGTAGAATATAATCCTCAGTTTTATTTTTCAAAGATATACTTATTTTCCAATGACTTTTTCATAAAAATTCTGACACATTATTAACAACTTTCTTTCTTTCTTTTTGTCACTAGATTTCTGACAAAATAAATATGTGTACATAATATACAGAACGTATCAAACAATACATAAATAGAGTATTAATTATTGATAAGATATCAACATTTCTCCCCCCTGTGAGGGAGTTCATCTTCTTCACACTCCATATCTATTCTTCTTCTATAAATTCCCATTGAAGTTTTCACTTCAACCACACGAACGCGTCCATCAGGTCCTGGAAAAATCTTCACGATTTTCCCTAATTTCCACTTGCTTCTTGGTAAATTATCATCAACAACAACGACCACATCCCCAATAGCTATTGGTTTGGAGTCTGTATGCTCCGTCTGGTTAATGTAGGCAGATATTCTTTGATCCATCCTTTCCAGAGTTCATCTGATAACCTATTTACTTTCCGCCATTCCGATTTCAAATTTCAAATGATTCTTTTAAAGAAGAAAACAGCTTCTCAGATCCCCACTTCTTCTTTGGTTGTTTAGAATGTCCTGTGCCTGTTGCTCCCTCCTGTGAAGCATTGGCCTGCCTTTCTGCTTCAAGCTCTCGATTGTTGATATTCTCTATATATTTCAGAAGTGTTCTTGGTGCTTCTTGATCTTGTGTTATCATCATTGAAGATAACGAGTCAATGATAGCATCTACATTGTAGGTAAATTTGCCAGAACCTCTGGCTGTTAGTGGAGTGTGAACTGATCCCAACAAGCGAGTTAGTGTCGGTTTAAGATCATCACAAGCATCAAAAGCTGCATCATATGATGCTTGGTCAAAGAAGCAAGCTATCATGATCATGCAAGTTATAGCCTCTCCTAAGGAAGCTTGAGACATTAAGACTTTAATATTTTCAAAGTTTCCATCCATTGCCTGAACTCTCTTTATTGCTCTTACACATTGCAAACTTCTCCTCACGTTATCATAAGGGAAGATGTATGGATCATTTAAGAGTGCTGTCAAAACAACACTAACGTCTCGGCCAATAATAGCATAGATGTCTAGTTCATAAGCCTTCCCTACTGGTGTTGGATTGCCTGGCTTGATTCTGGCCTTTAGAGCAACATTTAGGCCATTATTATCAGAAGCGTTCATAATGTCTCCCCATATCAAACTTCCAGTCTCGAAGATTGATCTGAAAACATCCTCTAGTGTTTCATTTTCTTTCAAAACTCCTAGCTCAATGAGATAGAACAACCTAGCTTCATCTGAGATGAAGGATGATGACCTAGCTGCATTAGAATATGTTTCCGCTTTCATCTGAGATGAAGGATGATGACCTAGCTGCATTAGAATATGTTTCCGCTTCCTTTTTTACCTTGTCCATGGACTTTGGCTTTTTATTATGCAATACCGTGTCCAGAAAATAGTGATAAACCTTAACAAAAGGCATCGTCACATCACCCACAGGACCTTCAGGAACTAGCCCAGCAAACATGTTGGTGAGCAAGAAAGTTGGTATGACATATCCTGTAGCTCTATTAAGGAATGTGACGTCAATGTAAGTTTACCTATTCCTTTGGCCATAAACCAACACACAACAAAAGGGAAACAAGATGCAACCCTTGACACTGTGATCGTGTCCTTCCCAAGCTTATCAGCCTTGTGCGGATCATATGTGCCATATTGGTGGCCAATCAACACAAAGACGTTCTTCCATTGATTTTGCATCTTGTTTGTTGCCCTTTTGATGTCAGTTCGCACAACAAAAAATAGAACATGCAGAATCAAGTGCATGTTGATGTCACCAGGCGTCACTGTTAAAAGAACAGGAGAGGTGTCATCCCCTTCAATCTTGTGGATCTTGAAGGTCCTTGCCAGGGTTGGCAAATATCATGATATTTATATAGATATCAAAATATCATAATATCGGATATATATCCGATATATATCCGATATATATCAGAATTTTTGATTTTGTTCCTAGGATAAAAGGCAAAAAAAAACAAAATATAAAATACCTTTATTTTGGTAAAAACTAAAATCAAACTTCATTTTAATTTAAAATAACAAAAAACGAGACAAAAAATTATATTTTTCCTAAAATATGTAATATAAAAAACTTGTCTTTTAATACATTTTTAAGGATTGCAAAATCGGGAAAGAGGAATATAATCATCATTATCAATATTATCATCTTCACTCAAGGCAACTAGTTCATCATTTGACGAGATCCAGTCCAAGCTTTTGGCTTTCTTATCTATATTTTGATTTAAACATTTAAAAATAAATACTAGCTTACTGGCTTTTTCGTTGCCTAGACGATTTCTTAATTTAGATTGAACTATTCCAAAGCTCGAAAAAATTCTTTCTAAACCAGCTGTTGCCGCTACTGCACTGAATAACTGCTCACATAGTTGTAAGAAGAGTTCTTTTTTAGGCCATTCGGAGTCAGGAATTGCAACCGATTTCCACCAAATCATTGGATTTGTTGTTTGGAATTGTGCGGAAAATAAATACTTTGGAAATGGACAAGACTTTGTAGTAAGAGCCATAACAAGCAGAACAAATTCTGGGTTTGTTGAATTTAGAAGATCGAAAGCCTGTTGTTTTTGGAACTGTGTTAAATTTTGTCCTAAGAATCTATGATCGAGCATATTCGCCAAATAATGATGTGATCCTAATGCCATATCTTTTCTTTTGCCAAACGCTTTTTTTATCGTAATTGGTTGATCTTTCACTTTCAAATCTTTTTCCAGTTGATGCCATACTTCCACTGCAACTCCAATTGTAGTTTTATCACGTTGCATGCGGTCTAATGCAATAGCTATGGGATTAAGTCGGTTCATGATATCCATTGCATTTTTTATAATGTGGGTATCATTAATTATTCTAATAATGTCTTTATCAATAACTTCCTCATGATTTTGACATAACTGTACCAATATTCCCCGGTTATCCAGATATGACTTAATTGCATCGCTCATAGTGTTCCAGCGGACTTCCTGAGGCATGACTAGTTTTTTCCCCTCATTTCCTTATAAAAAGCTGCAGGTAAATGCTTGTTTCTGAAATATTTTATGGCTTTCAAAATGTGCTCTGTGACCCCTGGAATGTCAAGGTCTTCTGCAAGCAAATTAAGGATGTGGGCAGAACATCCATAGTGAATTATATCGACATCTTTAATAAGTTCTTTTCGCATTTTTAAGACGTTGCCCGTGTTGTCTGTAATAAAGCTTCTTACTTTTACACCAAAGGTTTCCTCAGTCTTCTGAATTGCGTCAGTTGCTACTTCTTTCAAGTATTCTGCAGTGTGTGGATGTCCCGAAGTATCGAGAGTTGACACTAAGTATGAATCTCCACTTTGGGTCATTATTGAACAACACACGATGGGCTCATTATGAATGTTGCTCCATCCATCCAAAGACATGGAGACAACCTGACCTTCTAGTTTCTGTTTACACTCTTCCAAGACTGACTGATAGGTATCATCCAAGATTTGTCCTCCAATTTGACGTCTTGATGGTGGTTTATATCCAGGTCTCATAATATTACACAACTGTCGAAACTCTGCATGATCTGCATGATTAAAAGGCGTATTTGTAGCATAGAAATATCTGCCCATTTGTAAAGATATACGTTTCGCGTATGACTCTGACGTAAAGACTATGTCGGCATCTTTAGCAGCATTTAAATGAGATGTTTCTGTTAGTCGAATTCTCTTGGGTTTTGGCTTGTTTTGACTTTGTTCTGTAGATTGTGTGGTTGATGCTTGTTTCATAAAACCGTCCCAACACATTGTACTACCACTGCCAATAATGCCACTACTGCCAGATGGTGTTGGTAAAGCTGTACTGGTTGTTGAACTTGTTGATGCCTCTGGCACAATATCTGCTACTTCAATTTCCTGTTGACGCCTGGAAGGACTTTTTAATCTAATAATTCTGTTTTCATTTGTTGGCGAAGTTATCTTTGTTGTTGAGGATCGAGGTGGGCGGTCTGTAATAAATAAAAAATAAATTATTATTATTATTACCCATGAGACTATGTCAATTATGTATTTTTACTATTTTTTGATTTTTTGGTTGTCAGACATGCAGAATCAAGTGATTGAGTGATGTCTTAAAAATAGAATTTTTCTCAAATATAGCCAACACTGGCGGACACTGTATATACTGCCCAAAATCCAATGCTGAAGAATCAAAAATTCATAATAAAAGCTTGTTAAGAATGTTAAATTTAAAATAATTATTATTTAAGAAATCACCAATTTAGAGAAAATTATTCAGCGGCCGTACTTCAATTATAAATAACATTCATTGCTGATAAATAAAATGCACTTTTTTAGTTTTTTCTTTCGTTTAAGACCCCAATCGGTTCAGCAGTATAAGGTCTACTTTCTTGTTTTTATCATCAAATAGATAGATAAAGTAAACAATTACCAAATTGTGAGTTTTCAAAGAAATAAGATATAATTCATAATTACCTGTTTGCTTGTTTGATAATAAAACAGCCTCCTCATCATTTGAATCCCTTGAGTTACTTCCCGATTCTGAATCTGTGATAGTCTCTTTATGGCCTGTACATACTCTTGAGTGGTTTGTCATTCTTGAGGGTATACCCTGCATTTCCTTCTTGCATTTTTTACATACAGCCCATTTCCCGGAATTACCTTTTTTAATTTTACACTCAAAATTAACCCACACGGGATGCTTGTTTTTCGGCATATTTCTTTTCGTAAAATAAATAGGTTCTTAAGAACGAGTAACACGTGAGACAACAAACGACTAATTCGGCTACTAATACCGATTTAATTTCACGAATTATGTGCGTGATGTACCTAACAAGCAGAAAACAAAAACCGGGGATTTCCCGAATTGTAAGTTGTAACAAAGAAACGCACTGTTGTCAGTGTTGTCACGTATTCATTTTTACGCAGCCTTGTGCGGATCATATGTGCCATATTGGTGGCCAATCCACACAAAGACGTTCTTCCATTGATTTTGCATCTTCTTTGTTGCCTTTTTGATGTCAGTTCCCCGCACAACAAAAAATAGAATATGCAGAATCAAGTGCATGTTAATGTCACCAGGCGTCACTGTTGAAAGAACAGGAGAGGTGTCATCCCCTTCAATCTTGTGGATCTTGAAGGTCCTTGCATCTGTTATAGCTCGACCCTTATTGTAGAAACTCTCCAACACTTTCCTGGGATCAAATCCCGAATATTCCAGCGATTCTGCTGAGCTGGTCACATTCAGCTTTATGTCCTTTCCTGTCTTTGTTAAAAAGAGAGACCTGACAAACTCTCTGACAGGTACATCCTCAAACTGTGACAACACACACAGACGGGAAAAGAAAAAAGAGATTATTCTTGACTGTAGAATATAATCGTCAGTTTTATTTTCCAAAGATATATTTTCCAATGACTTTTTCATAAAAATTCTGACACATTATTAACAACTTTCTTTCTTTCTTTTTGTCACTAGATTTCTGACAAAATAAATATGTACATAATATACAGAACGTATCAAACAATACATAAATAGAGTATTAATTATTGATAAGATATCAACAAGTACAGTTGTGATGGGAAATATGCAGAAGAAAAATTATTATAAGGACAGTAAATGGCAATTTGATGATTCTAAAGTGTTTTGTGGATCTACAATTTGATAATTCCAGCACAATCAGTTGAAATTGAAAGAATGTGAATTCAGCTGACATATTTTTCAAAAATAGCAATATGATGACTAACAAGGGCTTTCGTTGATGTACTATTCAAAAACTCCAGCACAATCAGTTGAAATTGGAAGAATGTAAATTCAGATGATATATTTTTCAAAAATAGTACAGTTGTGATAAGAAATATACCAAAGAAAATGTATTATAAAGACAGAAAATAGCAATATGATGACTAGCAAGTGTTTTCTTGGATCTAATATTTAATTACTTCAGCACAATCAGTTGAAATAGGAAGAATCGGAATTCAGATGATATATTTTTCAAAAATAGTACAGTTGTGATGAGAAATATTCAAGAGAACAATTATTATAAGGACAGAAAATGGTAATATGATGACTAACAAGTGTTTTCATTGATTTACTATTTAGTAACCTCAGCACAATCAGTTGAGATTAGAAGAATGTGAATTCAGATGATATATTTTTCAAAAATAGTATAAGTAGTTGTGATCTCGGTTGTGATGGAGAACATTCAAAATGAAATTTATTATAAGGACAGAAAATGGTAATATTATGACTTATGCCTGTTTTCATTGATCTATTATTTGATAACATCAGCACATCAGTTGAAATTTGAAGAATGTGAATCCATATCATATATTTTTCAAAAATAGTATATTTATGTTGAACAGAAAATAGCAATATGATAACTAGGGAGTGTTTTTATGATCTTCTATTCAACAACTTCAGCACATCAGTTGAAATTTGGAGAAGTGTTTTCATTGATCTCCTACACTCATGTAAACTTGAAAGGACTCATAGTAAATAAGTTCTGATTACTATGAACGATTTAGATGAACTATTTTTTTGTCTTGATAATACATTATTGGGCCTTATTCTAGGGCAGTTTATTTGTCTTGAAACATGACCAAAGAAAATAAACTGGTTGATTCATACACAAGTCCTTTTTACAGGAAATTGAACTACATCTCTGAGTTGAACAGAAAATTCTAAAATAATGCAGATCATCTCGAGGATCATGTCAAAGCATACTTCAAATTGTGCCTAAGAATTTGGAAGAGAACATGTTTTTTGGAAATTGTTGTTAGCTGTATTGGTTTTTGAATTGTGATTTCTTCAAACACTCCTATTTTGAATGATTTTTTAGTTGTTTATTCTGCTAGTAATTGAATCACAAGTGATCTGTCACCCACAATATTCTATATTTCAGTTCCCGTTCTTTATTTGGGATTTTGGGAAACAGGTGACATAATAATATACAGGGCGTCCCGCGACAATTAGACAGGTAATATCTGGGAACTCCAGAGTAGCAGAGAATTGTGATTTTAAAGTTGTGATTTCGAACAATTTATTCCTGCAGCTTTTTCTGATGTTTTTTCTCCATGAACTTTATCAGTGTGAAACCAGTCATGACTTCACCTAATATTCCAGGCGCGCGCCATACTACCAATGGTCGTTCATTATTAATTTATATTCATGGCTGGCCATGAAATTACCAAAACCTCCAGAATATGTCTGGTGGATGAAACTATTTTTTATCAACGTATTCCTCTGAGGGTCCTTAATAATCTTCATATCTCATGATAATTTCTAAGACAAGAATTAACTTCACAGGCCCCCTCTTTCAGAATTTCGAAAAAAAAAAATCATAACTTTTTCAAAATACACATGGATGGGAGTTTTTTTCTATGAATGTGTTCCTCTAATGGTACTTGTTAATGAGTTCATCTCACAATATTTTGTCGGGTAAGAATTAACCCCACAGGCCCCCTTTTTTGGATTTTCGAAAAAATAATCATAACTTTTTCAAAATACACGTGGATGGGAGTTTTTTTCTATGAATATGTTTCTCTAATGGTACTTGTTAATGAGTTCATCTCACAATATTTTGTCGGGCAAGAATTAACCCCACAGGTCCCCTTTTTTGGAATTTCAAAAAAAAAATCATAACTTTTTCCAAATACACATGGATGGGAGTTTTTTTCTATGAATGTGTTTCTCTAATGGTACTTGTTAATGAGTTCATCTCACAATATTTTGTCGGGCAAGAATTAACCCCACAGGCCCCCTTTTTTCGAATTTCGAAAAAATAATCATAACTTTTTCAAAATACACGTGGATGGGAGTTTTTTTCGATGAATATGTTCCTCTAATGATACTTGATAATGTGTATATATCTCACAATAATTTGTCGGGCACGCATTAACCCCAAATGCTGCTGGTGTGAAGGCAGCAAGACGGTCCGCATGTACAGTGGGGCCCATTAAAATGGTGACGACTCCTGTGAAAATCCCTTTAATAATTCGGTTTATGCACCCGGACTAATATCTATTCCAACCGCCAGCTGTTTCAATAACATTTCTTATTTTATTGTGGTTTGTGGTACGAGATGGTCAGGTGAATGTCTGAATATTTCTAAGATTTGGGGCTAATATCCTGCTTCATCTTATGAAGCTGACTGAAAAAAAAAACTGACCAAGCATCATCATCTTTATTCATTGTTCGAGTCTAGTTAATATGAAATAGATAGAGAAGTTCTTGAATAAATAAATGCAAAAAGCTCAAAGTTACTTCCACACAATGTTCATGAAATGAACAACAATGGAAGATTTCGGGAGAAAAACAACTACTTCCCTGGCTGAAAACAATATTCTGAAAGTTTTTTGTACAACAGCTAAGTACAGTAAGATGAGAGATAAGATTTGATGATTTGAGATTATAATATCACAATGAAGATAAACAAAACCTCAAATTCCGTAAGTGTTATTCATTAATCAAAAGGATTGATTTCATAGAATTTTGAATGTTTTATAGAGTTTCAATAAAGACTCGAAAGCTTAAACAGAAACAAGAGAGTAGGTACACTTTATTTCACATTGACTGGAGACTCAAAAGAATTCACAAGTTTGTCCTATAACAAAAAGGAGGTATACGAATAATTATAATCATTCTGTTATTTAGTGTCGATCGAACGATCCGCTTAGATCAATAAACGATGTATGAATTTGTGAAATGTATACCTAACCTAGACGAACTGATGAGTTACCTGACCATTAACTGCGATTCAAAACGTTCCCAACTGCCTAATATCACAAATCGCCATATCTCCATTATACCTTAATTTATGTTCCGAAGCATATTATTTATTGGTATTATTTGCCATTTAATTGGACGTGTACAACAACAAATTACCTGTTACCGAAGCCAAACACCAACAAATATGGCGACTGAGATGCTGGCGTCAGTGTTGCCAACCTATTTTGATGAAAATTCCCTAGTAAGTGCCAAGAAATTCCCATATTTTCCCCTTTTTTCCCACACAAATTCAAAGATGTCCAATTTTATCCACATGTTCATTTTAGATTGAAAAGTGTATTCAAATTAAAAAAATACTATTTTGGTCAATAATCATATTCATAAAAACAACAAAACATAAAATGAAAATATCTTTCAAGTTACATTTAAATAAAAATAAAACAGCCTTCTTTGGTAAAAACTTAAACACTTAATTTTTGAAGGAATACATATGTGTTGTGAATAATCTAAGATGTTCCCTATTTATTTCATAAGAAAGACAAGTACTATCGCTGCATTGTGAAGAGCTTCTTATTACACAAATGTCGTTCAGGACTTCCGCTCCTAATCTTTTCCTTTTCGTTACCTTAACATCAGTTACAATAGAGAAAATGCGCTCAGCAGCTGCATTTGAGTGTGGTAGTAATAATATTAACTGAGCTAATTTGCACAAATTCGGAAATACTTGTGTGTCATCCAAAGCTTTTACATCTCCCATTTGTTTCCATATCAAATCAATTGATACATTTCTATATTTGGCGACAGCAGACTCGTCGAAGATAAATTTCTCCATTCCACCTCAATTGCACTAGTGTTAATAAAATCTTTAAAATTTGTTAAAAGATGTTTGAAGCTGAATGTCTCTTCTTTTATTGCTACTTCTGAATTTAAAAATTACATTTCTTTAAAAATAGTTTGGGAAAGAGGAAGTCTTTTTTTAATTTCTACAGCTGCAGTGATATAAAAATTCAAACATTTAATGCGTATATTATGAGCATTTTCCCTTGGAAGAGTATCTAATATTTTCTCACATTCACTTCCCAAATATACTTTCTCTAATTGCAAAAAATGTGCAGGGTCTTTAATATTGACTTGTCCTAAATTTCTTTCTAACACAATCTCTGACTTCAAGAAATTTTGACATAATTGTTTCATTAGTGTGTGTGATTTAATATATAAATCATGTATTTGAATATTTTTTGCTCTGAAATATGGCATTAAATGAATTAAACATATTCAAAGAATATTTCAAAAAACACAAATAGGCTCTATTGCATACATTGTTCAGTTCATTCAAAATAAGTTCTGAGCTTTTTAATTTGTCTTCAAAAACTGCAATTCCAAAATAATGCTTCAGAGCATCATAATATTCTAGAAATCTAGTCACACATGCATGCCTACTCAACCATCTAGTAGTAGATAAACTGCAATAAATTTTTTTTCTCAAGATTGAAGTACTCTTGCGTTTCTGTTAGTTGTGCACATCTCTTTGAGCTGCTTGACACATAATTGTAAGTGGATCGAAGAAGTTCTTCTGGAGATCTCGGTAATTCCTCACAGGCCTTACTTGCTACCAAAGCAGCCGAGTGACAAATGCATGACATTAAAACAACATGAGGTACATCAGCCTTAAGGTGTGTGTAAAATGAGTTATTTACTCCTATCATTGTAGCACAGCCATCAGAAGCCATGCCAATTATGTTTTTCAAAGGAATATTTTTTGATTCCATGCACATCTTAAATGTTTCATACAACTTCTTTGCTGTACAATCACGAGCATCCATGTTGACAAGCTCCAATAACTTTGTTTGAATTTTACCACTAACAGTATCTGTAAACCTGACCAGGACACATACATTTTTATCAACACTAATGTCAGTGCTTTCATCAACCATTATAGAGAACTTTTTCTTTTGTAAAATTTCTATTAGGTTATCTGTCTCAACTTTGGCCAATACATTTTTCAGAAGTTCACTACATTTAGTTCTTTTGATATCCAATGCTGCTGCTATTTTGGAATCAATAAAAGTGTCTTTCAATAATGGAACTAGATGGTCAATAGCTTGAATTGCAAGATTATGTTAAGCAAAGAACACAGCCAATTTGAGTTCAGCGTTTTTAACTTCATCAACTAATGGTTTTTCTGATTCACTTTTCTGAAACACTGTTATGGATGGTTGGAACTTAACAGCTTTGCTTGCCTTCAAATGTTCTTTACCCTGTTCATGTTTTTCCAACTCACTTTTACCAGCATTGAATACCTTATTACATATCTTGAACCTGTAAATCAATATTTAAATTAATTAATAATGAAAAATAATCTGCATTTTATACCTACCTAACTTGAGTATCATCAGGACCATTGTCTGCTAAATATGGAGAAAAAATCTAGTGAGCTGGAGTATCTGGTCACTAGCGTCTAGCGCAAGGAGGTATTTGTATAAACAACGTAGTGGGAGAACCGCGCAAGCGAGACGCGGACGCGGACAAACATCACCTATGCCTTCACCTATCGACATGCCCGACGAACGTTGGAGCGAAGGAATATATATACAGTATGATGCAAATGTATGGAATAAATTCATTTCAAAACAAGACGACTTCCAAAAAAAATCCAAAAAGTAGAGTTCAGAACTTTTTTATCGATGTATTTTTTCAACTAGACGAGCCTTCGATGTTCAATTCTCAGTAGAAGATCTCTGCAACATTCAGTTAACCAAATGATAATCCATTTTAATTTCAATCTTCTTTTGCAAAATTTTGACTATTGGATAGACGATCAGTAGACCTTTCAAACGAGGTGTCACATGATCCCTGTTTGTATTTAAAAAAAACCGTCCATTACGTCATTACTCCAACACCGGTGACGTAACATCTCTCATATGAATGTCATGAGATGAGGTTTCAAAAATTAAAACTCACGTGTTTTTGGAATATCTCCAAATGTCGCCCATTTCTGAAATAATGAATTTATTCCATACATTTGCATCATACTGTATATAGAACTTAACATTTTCTCCAGATACTCTCTGCGATGACCACGTCATTCTGACCATCTACCAATTTTGGATTTTCAAATGGAATAATACCATCTGTACATTATTCTATCACTGATTATGGGTTATACCATTACGATACCACAAATATACTGACAATATACCAACTTACTTGCCATTATCACTAGTCTTATTATCAGTAATTAATTAAAGAAAAAATGTATTCATCAGATATTCAGTTTCTTTATTCATGATGTAAACTTAAATGCTTAAAGAATAATATTGTATTTTCTGTAGTAGTCCATGCTCAAAGTGGAGTGGAATGATCAATAGAGAAAAAACCCAAAGTCGTCTCCACAATTTTTAATGTATAATCAGGCAGTCAATCCTGCTTCATTAAGGTTGATACATGTTTCGGCCATTCAAATGGCCATCTTCAGTCAAAAGAATATAACAAAGTGTATCTACAATAGAAAACCGAACATGATTTTTTATATAAGAAAAATTGAAAATGAAAAAGACAACAGTTGTAAATTCAAATTGAATTGATTAACAATTTCGGTTAGATCAAAGAGCACCAGTGATTCTTATGAGTATACAATGATAATTGATCAGTAATTGATGATAAAAGTGAAAAACAAAATTTTATCAAATCAAAATTCTAAAAAATAAAATGGAGAACCATAGATAGATCAATTACTGATCAATTATCATTGTATACTCATATAAATCACTGTTGCTCTTTGATCTAACCGAAATTGTTAATCAATTCAATTTGAATTTACAACTGTTGTCTTTTCCATTTTCAATTTTTCTTATATAAAAAATCATGTTTGGTTTTCTATTGTAGATACACTTTGTTATATTCTTTTGACTGAAGATGGCCATTTGAATGGCCAAAACATGTATCAACCTTAATGATGCAGGATTGACTGCCTGATTATACATTAAAAATTGTGAAGACGACTTTGGGTTTTTTCTCTATTGAATATTGTATTTTATGAATACCTATAATAGGTATAGGTATCCCAATTTTATTTTTTCATTTTATGGCCTCAATCTCCAAATCCTCATATCAGTATTCAAAGTGTTAGTTTTGTGTTATTAGACTTTTAATAACATGTGTTGTCAGCCGCGCGTCGCTATAGGTGATGGGCACAGTTGATGTTTGCCCGCGTCCGCGTCTCGCTTGGCGCGGTTTTCCCACTACGTTGTTTATACTAATACCTCCTTGCGCTAGACGCTAGTTATCTGGTCTGCCCAAACAAGGGAAATCACCTACAGCGTTCTGTGGCCGATACAGTAGTACCGCCATACGGTCAACTCGAGGAAACACTCAATTCAATTGTTTTCCTGTCAAACCTACATAACCTTAAAAATCGTGAATGAGTTGAGCCCCCCTCCCTCTCAGCGGTGCTCTCGGCTCGGCAGTCTCGGCCGGCGGCATAGTTTGTTTAGTTTTAGTGAGTTTGAGTTAAGTCACGACATTCGGACATTCACGGGACACGGTCACTCAGTCACTCAACAATTCAAAAATAGTTCATGCAGATAATGGAGATATGACAGGCATCTTAACAAATATGTAGAGACTGAGCCCCCTTACTAGCATACTGGCCCTTACAGCCCTGGACGAAATACGGGATTCTGTGCATATTGATCATTATAATGATGGTGTGAAGCGTGGGAACACAAATAGTGAAATCAGCTCGGAAAGTAGTGATTCCTATTTTATGGTCTGTGCAGTTTTTTGATGTGCTCAGCTATGGATCAATTGTGGAAATGAAGTTTTTCATCAGGAATAAGCAAATATATGGCTATAATAGAAAGAAAGGAATCATGAAGAATCTTATCCACAGATCTCATCTTGTATCTTGAATACTACCTCTTGTATGCAGGAAAACATGTTTATCAAGGAAAAGATCCACATCTTTCAGATTCAAAACTATGGGAACTCAAGGAAAGTATAATTACTACTGCTTCAGTTTTCTGCTGAGCCTAAAGAACTAGGTACCTAGTGAATATAAAATGTGAGAAGTCCACAGTAATTGAAATCAGAAAAAGGCCCCAAATATGTCTGGATGTTGGATAGTGACCATTTCTGGAAGGATTTTTTGTTCACCTTTATTTGATGAGATAAGTAATATGAGGAGAGAACCGAGATCTACACTTACCCTCAAAAATTCAAGTGGATTGATCCTTTTCTAAGCAACTTTTTCCCGTGTTTTGTCACCTTAAATCATTCCTTCTCAAAATGGTTGTTACAGACATTGCAATAGTTCTCAATTTTGTAACTTGTAACACCCAACACCCAAAGTAAATGAGAGGTAGAATCGGAAGTATCGATTATTAACATTTGATCAGGGCTCTGATTTTCTTACTTGTAATGATCCTGTGACACTCAATATCGAATGTATCCACTTATGTCACAAAGAAATATCACTTGGAAATCCATGAATGGAGATGGTTTCACAATTTCTGGTAGGCACAATATGAGGAGACAGCTCGGGAGACAGAGTTTGTTACACATTGATAATCAGAATAAACAACTATAATACTGGGAGCACAACACAAAACTATATCTATAAACGAAAGGAATATTAGAACAATGAGAATTGAAAAAGAATGATATTTTAGAAAAAAATTCAAAACAAGTCAGGATGGCATGACAGCTCTTGACACTGACAACCAGTGACAACTTACATAACCACAAATTTCGAAATTTTTCTAGAAAAAAGTGACAATCATATCGTACGATACGGTAACATCCTCTAGTGGTCCTACACTCAACTGAGATATTGGGAAGACCAGTAGTTCCAGCTCACTAGATTTTTTCTCCATATTTAGCAGACAATGATCAGGACATTTGCCTAGCCACGGAAATTGCTTCATCCAACCTTCCTGAAATCGCTTCTTCCCTACTTTTGTTTTTTTTTGCGTGGAGGTGTTCTTTCATTAATCGATCAAACGAACTTACCTGTGAAGTTCGATCGTATTTATATGAAGCGCCTCGTCCGAGAGATCACTAAGGTATGCCAATTCTACATTGTTCGAACCACATTATTCAAAGTATATAAAAAAAAAGAAGAAGACTCTAGTCTTCTCTCACTTTTCAGCGACATCCAACTTCATATGTTTAAAGCATAATCGCGCCAACTTCAAAAACCTGGGGGCCGATGACGATATTATAAATAAAGTCTTCTAGCTTGGGTTTGGGCTGTGAGTGATCTTTTCGGACGAGGCGCTTCATATAATTACGATCGAACCTCACGGGTAAGTTCGTTTGATCGATTAATTATATTTCAGCGCCTCGTCCTCAAGATCACTAAGGTAGTTATTTAAAGATTGACTTTTTTCTTGCGTTCCTTCCTACTAGATGAAGTGCAGGTAGTATGTAAACGTATATTTCCGTTTTAAAAACAAAAATACAAAATGAACATGGATATTATTACCAAGAACAATTTCAAGTAACAATTATCAGGTCAATTTACCTCTCAGAATGGTTCTGGCAAAGTCCTGGTCAGAGCCTACTGGACAATTATAAAACTTTGCAAACGTAGTAGAGTCTGGTGTCCAACCTGCTGTTTTTCTTATGGTCTCCAACATAATGCCATTTCTAAAAGCAGCTGAACAGGAAGCATGTCTGGTTGAATATCCTTTGAAAATCTTAGTGTCAATACCAGAACTCCCCAGAGTAGCATGAATCCATCTGCTTAAAGTCTGTGTTGATGCAGTTTGGTGTGGTCTTCTTGTGCCAAGAAACAAATAATTCTGTGACTCAGATCTGATAGAAACTGTCTTCTCCAAATATAGGAGCAAAATACTGGCTACACACAACCTAGGATTTTCAAAAAAGGGTATATGTAGAACGGGTTGGACATTGCGAACCCCTGAAGTCTTAATACTATCAGAAATTCTTATCTGCATCTCCGATTCCGTGATTTCAATATTTTCCACTCTTATCAGAGCTAATGTCTGGATCCTATGAGCTGTGATGAGAGCTAATAGGGCCAACAATTTCTTAGTTAGTCTTTCTAAACTGAGTTCTTCATGGGGAAACCAGCCCTCCAAAAAGTTCAATACTATATGCGGGTCCCATGTGACACTGTATCTCCTTCTAGGTGGTCTCATTCGTGCAATGCCCCTAATATACCTTATTGTGATCTGTGGATCTCTACCTATATTTCCTTGCAATATTAGAGCTAAGGCTGAACGAGCTGTGTTAAAACTGCTGTAAGAAGTGTTGCCATCCCTAAATCTATCTTGCATGAACTCCAATATAATTGGGATCTCTGTATTGTAAATATCAATATTTCTAGAAGAACAGAAGACCCACCAAGCCTTGTATGTTGTGTTGTATTGATTGATGGTCGCCTTGGAAATCGACTCCATCATGGTACTTGCTGCTTCCTCCGGGACTCCTTTCCTTCTGAAGGCTTCCCACACAACCTGTCTGCCACCAGGTAAAGGTTTCGAAGGGGATGCTGAGTGCTGTAAGAAGAAATCAACAGATCTTTACTGTGATTAAAATATAAAGGTGGGGAAACAAGCAAGCTAGGAAATAGAGGGTACCACGGTTGTGAGTTCCAGTTGGGCACCACCAAAATTCCCTCTGACCCCTTTGAAACAATTTTATTTAGTGTTCTCAGAACTAAGGAAAATGGCGGAAATGCATAAAAGAAAAAGGAGGCCCAATCAACAGTAAAAGCGTCCACTGCCCATGATTCTGGATCTGGTAGCCAAGAAATGTATCTCTCACATTTCCTGTTCACGTGGGACGCAAAAAGATCAATCTCAGGAGTGCCAAAATGTCTCTGTATATTGATGAAATATTTGTTGTTCAACTCCCATTCCGTCTCTGCTGGCAGAACTCTTGATTCTTCGTCAGCGATTTCATTCAGTTCCGACTTGATATAGGAAGCATGCAACCATAAATTCCTTTTTTCACACCATTGCCAAATGGATCTTGACAATTGATTGAGCTTAACATACTGAACACTGCCCATACGGTTTATATAGGCTATGGCTGTGGTATTATCTACCCGTAGCAGTATGTTGGATGAAGATAAGTCTCGTGTTAGACTCTTTAAGCTATAAAATATACTCAACAGTTCCAGGTAATTTATGTGTTCTTTTTTAAGGTCCTCAGACCACCAGCCGTGAGTTCTAACCCCATGAAAGTATGCTCCCCATCCTGTCAATGAGGCGTCTGTAAACATTTCATAATCATAAGAGTCTTCCTGGATCTCTTTACTTCCCTGGTCAATATTTGATATCCACCAATTCAGGTCCTCCCTGATTTGTTGTGAAATCTGTAACCTTGCACCATAGTTCTGGTTATTCTTCCTGAGTGCCTTATATTTTGCCCTTTCAAACACTTTAGTGTATATCCATCCATATTTAATGGCTGGACAAACTGAGATTATTGTACCTATAAACCTAGCAAAATTTCGAATCTTACAAGATCTCTTCACTAAGAAATACCTTGCTATGTTTTTAATTTTATTACATTTCATAGTAGGCAGCCTCATCATCATGTCTGTACTCCTGAAAATAAAGCCCAAAAATGTACATTCCTGAGCAGGAATTAAGCTACTCTTATCATAATTAATTATGAAACCAAGGCCTTCTAATAACCTTATAACTAACTGCCTATCAAGGATAGCCTTATTCATAGTTTCACTAATTATCAAAATATCATCCAAGTAAATTACACATTTGATTCCCTGACTCCTAAGATTTGAAATAACTGGTTTCATCAGTTTTGTGAAGATATATGGTGCTATTGACAACCCAAATGGCAACACATTAAATTCATATAATGTATTATTGAATCTGAACTTCAAAAATTTTTTGAAATTCTTATTAATAGGGACCTGATAATAAGCACTTTTGAGATCAACTGTCAACATGTAGTTATCCCTACTAATCAATTTTTTCGCTGTAGTCCTCCAAGTTGAAGTTAGGAGGTCTAAGGAAGGCATTCAGATCCTTCAAATTCAATATAAAACGTTTTTGTCCATCTGATTTATTTACAGTAAAGTAGGGAGAAACAAATTGATCTAACTCAGTCTTTGACTTAGAAATCACCTTCTGAGTTAGTAACTCATTCACACACCTAGCAATCTCCAATCTTTCATGAACAGAAATTATTCTAGACATTTTTTCCCTACGTTGATAGGGCCTTTTAGCAAAAGGTATTTCAAAACCTTTTATCCACTGTAGAATACGGTTGTTATCTGTGATCTTCTTCCATTCTGTAATACAGAGCGGTAGTCTACTAGAGCTTGCTCCTACCTGATTCATCTCTGCCGTTTCCATCGTTGGGCATGTTGTCTGTACTCCCTCCTGAACTGCTGGGATTGCCCTTTCTGTCTCCGGTTCCCTGCCTGAGACGGGCCCTTCCGGTTTAAAGAAAACTTCTTTCTCTCTTTGTCTCCTCCCCTGCTGCGGAAGAAGTTGAGGCCAACTCCTTACTTGATTTTTCCACTATTCTCAGTGCCTTGCACTTCTCACCAAAGTCAGTCCTTTGCAGTCTTGCTCAAGTTAAGAAATATAGCAGCCCTTCTTATAACTGAAACATTAAAATGTAAATCTGATAAGAGTTTGGCTGCATCTGTCAGAGATGTTAGGACTTCTTTATCCTCACTGTTGCCTCTCTTAAGGAGACATGTTAATCCTACCCCCAAAGCAGCTAAACCAGCACCTAATTGGTCCTGGATCCGTGTCTGAGATTTATCTCTTTTAAGTGATGGAGGAATTAACAAAGTAACAACTTCCAAATTGAGAATTGGACCTCTTAGTGTCTGACAATTCTCTGGGATGAGATATTTAGAAATCAGGGCTTCCCTGTTCTCTTTCCCAACTCCTTTTGCCAAAATGTGTTTCCATCTAGAAGAAAGTGCCTGATGGATCTTAATATTCATAGCATTTGCTTCTGCAGGATCCTCTCCTAAAATCTCTAACATCTCTTCCCCTAATAGATCATCTTCTTGCAGAATCAGCACATTACTGTGGTTGTCATGTAAGGTCTCTACTGTAGACTGCTGCTTTGTAGCAGGTGTTAATGATGCCATTTCTGCCTGGTCCCTGATGGAACTCCTGGAAGATGTTGACAGTGAGGAATCTACTGAGCAATCAGAGGATGATTCCTGGTGATATGACTCATTGAGTCCTCTGCTTTTTCCTGCGCCGAGCATCTCGCACTCCGAAAAGGTGATGGAGATTTCAAGGAGCGTCTCGCCCTCCTGTCATCTCCGTCAGTCCCCTCCTGCACCGACAACTCCGTACAACTCCGACGACTTATTAGATCTATGCCTACTTCTGCTCCTACTCCTAGCAATTCTTTTATACTTGGTGTCGACTTTCCAGGCTCTAGGCGATTTTGACTTACGAGAACGCCTAGGCGGTGATCTCACAAGATGCCTATCTGTCAACAATTTCTCTAGTCGTCGGAGTCTCTCCTCTAATTTGTCCCGATCCCTGGGTTTGTCCATCTTGCTTGGGCTCGATTGGCCTAAAAAACAAATGAATTAAAACCCAAAAATTAATTTCTTTCATCGATACACGTGTGTTCGCACAATGCACAATAAGCAATATGAAGTTGGATGTCGCTGAAAAGTGAGAGAAGACTAGAGTCTTCTTCTTTTTTTTATATACTTTGAATAATGTGGTTCGAACAATGTAGAATTGGCATACTACTAACTTAGTGATCTTGAGGACGAGGCGCTGAAATATAATTGTCTTCATTATTATCATCATTATCACTATCCATTTTTCTAATTGTTTTTTACGTTTTTCATTTTATTTTCCTTCAAGACTTCTGTCTTCTGTCATGTCATGACACAATCACTCAATCACGGACATACGAATAGTTCTGTGCTTCTGTCATTTGTGTTCTGTTGTGTTTTCTGAGATGTTATTTGCGCAAGATTTAAAAGCAATATGACTATAATTTTGAGTGTGTGAATAATTATTTTCAAGTAGTGAAAATCGATAAAACACTTAAATATAGTGTATACTGGGTGATACAGGAGACATGTAGCAGCCTGTAGTTTTTTTATTTGAAGAGATAAAATTTTGAAATTCACTGGGGGTATACAATAAATGGTAGCGCACTTTACGAACTTAACGACAATTCTTTTCAACCACCCGCAGAAAAAGCATCTCGACCGCGAAACTCGGAGAAGAATGAATTCAGTACTCTCTTCACGGATGTTGTCAGTACCACTTAGTAAACGGTTGGTTATATGCAAACGATTCGTTGCATCCATAATAAAAAGTAAAACTTTGATACGCCATTTCTGAGTCACCCTGTATTACGCAAAATATTTTAGAAATGTGATGCTCATCTCATCTCAAAAATGTTTGTTCATCTATCTCCGATAGCAAAGCTGATATCTCATTTTGCCACAGTATTGGTTCACCCTGTATGTAAAGAGAAAGCCTTGGGTGACGGTGACGCGACTTCCATGAATTTTGTGCATCCAAAAAGTTCTCAATGCGCCTAAAGATGCTTTACTTCAAAAAATCATATGAATAATGCAAGTGATTCAGACACAAAGTAACATGAAACACTTGCTAAGTTTTGGTGATTTGATTTCTTAGTAATTTTCAAGCTGCAAAAACAATATTTATCGTGATGAATTAAACAAGAATCCGGAAGCTGATTACTAGAAAGTGATTTCTTTTCCAGGATTGGATCTTCACTTCTGGAGAAAATGTTGTAAGATATGTAAATGTCCCAAAGAAGAGCATGAAGTTCAGGATGATGATATTTATGGATGGGCACAATTCCAATTACTTGGTAGCAAACCGAACAAAATTAAGCAAAAAATAGGTAAGCCATTTCGAATATTTTATTGTTAGTACAATTGTCTTTTATATGCACTAATCAGGTCTACTGACACACGAGCAGGCTGGTGTTTAAACACGTTGTGTGCAAAAATTATTACAGTTTACAAAGTGTTGAAAAAAAAGTTTTTGTGATTTCATCACAGACTTTATAGATACCATCCCGTTAATAAAGCCGATTTATTATCATCATTATTATTATGTTGAAATGAAGCTAGTGTCGACTGTATCCATTAGTACTAATTTATTCACACAAGTCATCATCATCATCATTTTAATCACTCTATAAGCTATTATACAATAGATTGGATTCGTCAAAAAATTACATACTAACATACTCATAATGAGAAGCAAGCAAATAATAATAAATAAAATGAATAGAGTGTATACATATAGAAGTTGAGGACATAACATAACCAATTCGCAATTGAATTGTTTGCTAGAGAGTTGTCAAATGAATCTCTAGTAAACAAAAATATCAGTATTCTATCAGACAGTCAGGATGCTCTCAAAGCACTGAGCTCCAGCAAGATGAATTCCAAGCTTGTATGGAGCTGCATTGAATCCCTAGAAAGCCTGGGTGCTAACAACAGAGTCACTCTGCTGTGGGTGCCTGGACACCAGGGGGTGGAGGGTAACGAGAAAGCCGACATCCTCGCCAAACAGGGAACCGAATCTGTGTTCATAGGACCAGAACCATATTTTGGGGTCACCGCAAGTGCGGCGAAAACAACTATCTCGGGCTCGGCGGAGGGAAAAACACTCACGTACTGGTCTGAATTACCAGGATTAACCCATTCGAAGGCGTTCTTGCCTAAACCATCGGAAAAAATAACCAGGCAGATCCTAGAATGGAGCAGGGGTAACCTGCGAATTCTGACTGGACTGCTTACGGGACACTGTCGTCTAAGATACCACCTGGGAAGGATGGGTCTGAACCAACAAACGGACTGTCTGTTCTGTTGTGTGGAAGACGAAACGGCTGAACACATATATTATGTTCATGCTCTAGCTTAGAAAGACTAAGGTTCGACACATTTGGCTTTACCAATTTAGAACCTATCGATTTCAGACAAATCTCACCCAATTCAACCATGAACTTTGTAAAAAGATGTGGATTGTACGGTGAACTGTAACCTGTAACCTTCAGAAGAAGATTAAAACAAGTAGTTTTAATCTTCTCCTGAAGATGCTAACATAGTTAGCGAAACACGTGTCGAGGCGTTAAAAAATCGGTTTGGTTAGTGGTAAAACAGTGTAGTGGAGTGTATTTTTGTTAATGTGAATATATGAAAGTATTTTATATAAGTAGATGCAGGGAACGGTGAGGATACCTTGTTGTTTGAATGTGTTTCTACAAGACGAATAAAATGGGAAGCCTGACCCCATACAATTATATTTTATGACATTGTCGAGTATACAAAGGCATAGTAAATATTCATAAGAGAATGGGTGTGCAGATTGTTTCTGAGAGATGAAATTGCAAAAAAACTTGAATTAAATCGCGCGACAATATTTTATGATTATATAAATTGTGTATAATGAGATTATAAGTTGACAGTTACAATGATAAAGGAACATTTCATTTTTTTTACTTTGAATTTATTTCCTAATTTTTAGTTATCGCTGGCCAAGTTTCTCAGTCTGTTCATTTCATTCAACGCATCATTGTTGCAAGGCCGTTTGCTGGTTAATTTCGAACAGTCCAGCTCTTCAATGAGACTTTCCAATGGTTTTACCCTACTTAAAGCCACTTATGCTTGACCAGCAGCGAAGAGCTTCGAGCCTAAGTAAACAACGGCATAGTCAACAGTATTATCTTGCATTTTGTGTACTGTACAAGCCCAACATGATACAATTGGCAGCACAAAAAACTTCAATAATGTGCCTTATTATTGGAGTTAGAGTGATGGTACATTATTTCTAATTATTCTCGGCAAGCCCTTCCATTTGATACCCATATTGCAGAAATGCATGAATAACAACTATTCCGCCATCTTGGAAGTTGCGCCATATTGGATTTAGAATAACGTTACTTTATTTTTCGAGTGACTCTCAACGAGCCGTTTCATTTGATACACATATTGTAAAAGTAGATTGAACATAACTATTCCGCCATCTTGGATGGTCTGTCATATTGGATTTAGAATGACGTCATATTATTTTCCGAGTTGCTCTCAACGAGCCCTTTCATTTGATACCCCTATTGTAGAAGTGAATTAAAAATAACTATTCCGCCATCTTGGATAGTCCGCCATATTGGATTTAGAATGACGTCACATTATTTTTCGAGTGACTCTCAACAAGTCCTTTCATTTGATACCCCTATTGTAGAAGTGCATTAGAAATAATTATTACGCCGTCCTGGATGGTCCGCCATAGTGGATTCAAAATGCCGTCACATCAATTTTCGAGTTACTCTCATTAAGTCCTCTCATTAAAAATAATTATTTCGCCATCTTGGATGGTCCGCCATATTGGATTCAGAATGACGTCACATTAGTTTTCGAGTTATTTTCAACGAGCCCTTTCATTTGATACCCATATTGTAGCAGTGCATTCAAAATGCCTATTCCGCCATCTTGGATGGTCCGCCATATTAAATTTAGAATGACGTCACATTATTTTTCGAGTTATTTCCAACGCGCCCTTTCCTTTGATACCCATATTCAAATTTCTGCAGCTGTCTTATTTTTTATAGAAATTTGTCCAGACACGTTATTTTGCACAAACAGAAAATATCACATCATATCACCATAAGTTAGAAACACTGTTTGGCATTAATCACGGGGTTCACCAAACACAGGATCACGTAGCGTCTGCCGTGTCACCACTTTTCGTTTAGCACCCGACATCGTGAGGAATCAAATTTTATGTTCTGGTTCCCACGAAAAGGGATATCCTGTAATGTTCAGAGAACATCGTGAGAACCAAGGGAAATAAGGTAGGAATTGGTGTTCTTCTTGAATTTCTAGAGGTTATATGCCTCGGGGAACACCTCCCTTGGCAATGTGTTCCAGAGCCTCGCTATTCGTTGGATGAACGAGTCTTTGGAAAGAGATGTTCTGCAGGTCTCCAAAGTGACCACAAAGGGGTGCGAAGCCTCGACTCGACAAGTTAATCTCGCGGGGACTGCCAATGGAGGAACAATTGTTGATATTTCAGAAGAAGTTCTAAAAAAGTTCAAAAAAAATTCCAATACCTACCTCCTATCCCTATCCTCCCTAGGAACGCACGATGTTCTTTGAACATCATAGGGATTCCCTTTGGTGCGCTCCAAGCGATAAAAAAAAATGCATCGTCCATGAAAATATCTATAAACTAGACCCAGATCGCCAACTTTTCTGCGGTGTTCTAGAGAAGTGAGTGAGTTTGTGAGTGAGGCATCACCCACGAGACGAATTGCCCTTTTTTGGACAGAATCCAACAGTTTCAGGGTATGTTTGGGTGCTGCACTCCAAATATGAAAACAGTATTCCAGGACAGGTCGAATCTGTGCCTTATAGATCATAAGCAGCTGACTAGAAGTGAAATAGCTCCTGGCCCGAAACAGAAAACAAAATAACCACTATTGAACGAAGTATACTCGGACTCTAACTGGCTAATATACAACGATGAACTGAACTGAAAATGAACGCGACTCATTGCACGTACGCATCTCAAGCTCAGTGAATCCATCCGCGTCCAAACATATTATTTCAATTGACGATATTTGTTCTCACGTGAATGAGATACTATCGAGCATGCTATTGCTATATTGAAATTGAATTGTAATTTCTTCAATTTTATGAGGTGTGATGACAAAAAAATATTAAAATAAATCTACATCACAACAATATGAGTTTCTTCACTATAATAGGCCTTTCGAATTCGAAAAATCAACCCACCCTACTGTACAATCTGTATAATTCCTATATGGATAATGACGATTAATTCAAATGATGCATCGATAGATAATTGTTTAATTTTTAGAATTTTTAAATTCTTGAATTTCTGAATTTTTGTTTCAGTGCTTCCAGGCAAAAAGGATGAAACCTATCTGGACTGGACACCGAAAGGTAACAAAGAAACCGTTGATAAATATCTCAAAACCTTACCACCAGAGCAGCTGCCTGTCATCGGTTCACAAGCTGCACGTGAACGAAAACAGCTTCTTCAAAAACAGATACCCATACACGACATCGATCCGAATCTTTGTCATGAGTTGAACGAAGAAGAGCTCAAACAAATGAATGAGTATATCGCTCATGTGAAGCAGAATAGTGTCGGTGTTGGCCAGATAGTGAGTCTCTCAAACATTATAAAGGGTAACCTGCATATGCTGAGCCCTGCTGATGCAGAAATTATCGCTAAGAGGTATTCCAAGGGAATCCCTCTTTCGGAAATTGTCAAATTACAATCGCAAAGGATGTCAGGTGGTTTAGTAAATCCAGAGTTGAGTAAAAACTTGGAAACCTTGTCCTTGAATAAAAGGAATTTGCCTGTCTTCCATCCCAAATTACTTGATCAAAAGGAGGACATAGCAGATTTGCGTATCTCTGAGAATGTTCATGACAAACATTTTCCGGTGTATGGTTCTGAAAGTAACAAGGCGTTGCAGTCATCACAGTTTGCAGATGCACTGAGGCCCAAAAACTACAACAAAGATAACCGTTTTCTCCCTATGAATGAGCAGCAAACATTTGACCAGACAATTGATGAAGAATATCAACGAAATCCTAATTTCGATCCAAAGAGACCGAGCCAATTCAATCCACAAAGTGTACCTTATCAGCCTAGTACTGAAAAAGATGTATTCCTTGGAGGAAATATATCGGAACATGAGACTGGAAATAGTGCCTTTGTGCCGTATCAGAAAGCATCATCCAATGTGAACCAGCTTGGTGAAAGTTATACCCAGCAAGCTACTATAAAAGATCCTTCTTTCAATAAGAATTTGGAAAAACGTAGAAGTAATAGCTCAACAGATGTACAATTGGGTGAGATGAATACCCCATCAATTCCAGAAAATCACTTAACAGAAGATAGAAGGAAATTTGATCCAAGATACAATAAGTATGGAGGAGTACTCCCTCCTACTGAATCAAAAAATAGTCAAGATTCCCAGGGAATGACTTCTAGAGACACAAATGTTGGAAAACATCCTCAAGATTCTATAACTAATACTGAAACTAATCAGCATCCAACTGGACAGATTGTTGATCATAATTTTTCGCAATATGGCGATAATTCTGGTAGCCAGCATTATTCGTCGATCGAAGATATACAAGACGACAGAGTGTACGAAAATGTGAATCATTTGAGAAAACAGACTGAAAACTTACCCTCTTACATTCCTGGAAAATATAACATATTATCTGAGCAACAGACGCCGATGAATATTCCAAAAACCTTCAAAGACTTGGCATTCAGTACTTATGATGCTGACAGTATTGATCCAATGGAACGTGAAGCAGCTGCAAATGAGTTCCGATATGGCCAATACAGACAACCTGGATCATATAATAATGGCGAAAATCGTTCGAATAACTCAGGAGTACCGATAAACTCACGCGAGTTTAGGCCCATTCGGACAAATGATATCCAAAACATGTTTGAAAAAAATTCAGCATTTGAACAAACAAGTGCCAATGAAAACTCAACTCCATTTGAATCCATGAATAATAAAAACTCGAGATCTCCGCCAAACCATGAAAGACCATATACAAATCTGTCAAATAAGTTGAACACTCCAGAGAAATCAAGTAACGATTTGATTGCTTCGGAACCACTTCATACTATGAATCCCTCCTTCAGTCATGAAATGCCTTATTCATATAAACCAAATAGTTTCAATACACCACAAAAGTTCAGTGGAGATTTAAATGAAGTTGATCCAATGGAGACTGAAAATATTGAAAACCACTCTGGGACTCCCAACATTCCAAATAAAAAATTGTCTGAAATGCTACCAGTTACACATGGAACAAACGAAGATTTTCTGTATCCAAGCCAAGTGAACATTGGACTTATCCAGGATATAAACTATCCAGATATCAAGGCTGCTACCCACGGGAGCAACGATTTCTATGAGGAATACAGCCCGGACAGTATTCGCGAGATAATGAACAATATCAAATTGCCTGATTGCCATTACTGCAGAAAACCGTTCGAGGAAAACGAGTTTGCAGTTGCTATAGATAGAGCTAAAGCTTTGTTCCATGCTGGCTGCTTCAAATGTGGCGGTTGCAACCAGATCTTAGCTGATAATGTATACTTCTATCATAAAGAAAGCGATAATGTGTATTGTCTTCGTGATTATGCGAAAATTCGGGGGTTCCCCCGGTGTAAAGCCTGCGATGAACTGATTTTCACCAAGGAATACTGTTTGGCTGATAATTCGACATTCCATTTGAAGCATTTTTGTTGTACCGAGTGCGACAAGCCATTGGCCGGGCAAGATTATACATTAGAAGAGGAAATGCCATATTGTCTTCCTTGTTTCGAGCAGAGCAAAGCTAGCAAGTGCAGTTCTTGTTGTAAAGTGATCAAACCTGATGAAGTAGGGTGCACTTTGAATGGTGTCCACTTTCATGCTGTTGACGAGTGTTTCGCCTGTCAAATTTGTAAAATTCCTTTGATTGGTAAGAAACTGTTATTGAGGAATGAAAAGTTGTACTGTTCTCATAAATGCTATCAGGCTTTGAAGTGATAATTATAAGACATATGATACAGGGTGATTCATTGGGAAATGCGCATACAGTAAGGGTAGATGGAAGACACGGAGGTAATAATAATAATAATATTCTCTATTCAGAAAAATAGAATGTTACATAGATATATTATATTCCATCAATAATAAGTAGGTACTATAGATTGAAAATTTCCTAGTATAACTAACTAACTAACTATACTTATTCAAGGAATAAAGAAGAATATGATCACTAAGGCAGCAATCTGCCAGCGCGTGACTATACACTTTTTTGCAGGCGAATTTATACAGGGTGTTTCACAGGTAAAGGGAAATATTTCAATGGTAGATTGGGGTCACCAAGGTGGTTCTGAAAATACCATATTTGATAGGTCTTAGAGTTTTCATAACGGAGATACAGGGCGATTTATCGATTTCGAATAATTATTCATTCGTCTATAATTATTGAACTACCCAGTATATTTTTCTGAAATTTGGTATGGAGCTTAAACTTGGGACGTTGAATGCATTCACCTATCGGGCGAAGTGAAAATCCAGGTACGGCTTCAGGAAAAATTTACATTTATTCGAAATATTAAAATAACACACTGTATGTAATAATTGACAAAGTTCATCAAAGAAATCGTGAAGAGGAGGTAAAACTGAACTGGATTTGATGCTTTCTGTTTTTCCGCCACCAATTCTCATCGTAACAATCATAAACAGGAGGCTAAAAGTATATCAATTAAAATTATGAAACCACTTTCAATTATGATTATATGATATATTCTTGTAAAATGATCATTCGAAAGAACTTACTTAGTCTCACAGTCTTTATAACAGAGATACAGGGTGAATTATCACTCGTCCATAAGTATTAAACTACCCATCCCAGTAATATTTTCTCCAATTTGGTATTGAGCTTACTTGGGACGATGGATTCATTGACCTATCAGGCACAATGGAAATACAGGTTCAGCTTAGGGAAAAGTCTCATAGTCTTTATAAAAGAGATACAGGGTGAATTATCGAATTATAATTCCGCCTGATAGGTTAATGAATCCATCGTCCCAAGAAAGCTACATACCATATTTGAGAAAATGTTACTACTGGGTAGTTTTATACTTATGGACTAGTGAGTAATTATTCAAAACCGATAATTCACCCTTTATCTCCGTTATAAAAACTGTGAGACTTAGTAAGTTCTCTCGAGCGATTTTTTTACTAAAATATATCGAATAATCATAATTGACACTGGTTTCATAATTTCAATACTCTTCAAATTGACATACTTTCAGCTTTCTGTTTATGATTGTTACGATGAGAATTGGTGGCGGGAAAACAAAAAGCATCAAACCCAATTCAGTTTCTCCTCCTCTTCACGATTCCTTCGATGAACTTTGTCAATTATTACATACAGTGTGTTATTTTAATATTTCGAATGAATGTAAATTTTTCCTGAAGCCGAACCTGGATTTTCTCTTCGCCCGATACGTGAATGAATTCAACGTCCCAAGTTTAAGCTACTTACCAAATTTTAGAAAAATATACTGGGTAGTTCAATACTTATAGACGAATGAATAATTATTCGAAATCGATAAATCGCCCTGTATCTCCGTTATGAAAACTCTAAGACCTATCAAATAGGGTATTTTCAGAACCACCTTGGTGACCCCTATCTACCATTGAAATATTTCCCTTCACCTGTGAAACACCCTGTATAGGTAAGTATGTATAATTCTATGAACCTACTTGACTATGGCCTATTTCCTCATATATACATAAGATAAGATATTTCAAACGCAATTGATAGTACTAAATTATTGATGTAATCAGGTTAAATTGGTATCTATACAGTTAAATCTATAAGTTTCTATTAAAATTTGAAATTTTGGACCATTAGGTTTGAATATACAATGATATACAGAATATTAGATGAATATATTATTTGAATTTGTTATATCAATAGCCATTTTTTGCATTGTTTTTTGAATTGTGCATCATTGAAATTTCGACTTTTTCTACAGGAAGTAAGTTGAATAATTTAGGTGCTACATAAGAAATACATTTTTGAGATATTCTTTTACATTTTCTTGGAATTTCTGCTATGAGTTGTGGAATTTGTCTCGTATTATAATTAGCCATGTTTACAGACTATCAAATTCTTCTGAATATTCCATATTTCATGGGTCTATAATATTTTATTACCAAGATATTCAAGGTGATTTATCCAATTCCCCCATATTTTCAATTAATCATAACTTATGAACCTCTCTATACATTTTTTATATTTAGTTTGTATGTTATTTGTCTACAGTGGTGACGATTGAAATGAAGATAAAAAGTATTATTCCAGGGCCGGCCTTGAGAAAATTATTAAGTAGGTTTCGAGTCGAAACAACACCCTGTATATTGAAATCTTCAAATCTCATTTACAAATTCAAGAAGAGCAGAAAAAATAAGCCAGACTGAATGAATTTGGTGTTTTCGCATAATTTTTAGGTTTCGATAATAAGGTGACACAAAATTTAAAAAAATTGTGCATTGTTTTATAAGGAGCAAATGTTACCCTTTGTTCGACAAGCGAAATTTGCGTTTGCAAGGCGGAGCGACCGAGAAGCCGAGCACGCAAATTTTGCGAGTCAAACAGAGTCACTTTGGATCCGGATGAAACATGCTATTTTTTTTGCGATCGAAATAGTCGATATTCAATTGATAAAATATAGGTGAAGTTACCACTATTTTGAGTCACTTGAGCATGTCACAATTTGGTTTCCTAGGAATTAAACTTCAACTTTGGCTCCTAGACACTAAATGTGTTGCCTAGCAACATACATACCAATCATTTTATTGTGTCAGTAAGAGAAACGTCATCTTCATTATCAAGAGCTAATTTTGGAACAAAAATGGACGACTTTTTAGTCGATTGCAAAAAAAAATCATTTGTGGTCCCTGATGGTACTTTTCCATGTATAATCTCTGAAATCAGCAGCAACTATTTCTCTTTATCCTAACTTTTGGATCCCAACTTAATTAAAAACGAGAGGACATGTCCGTATTTGGCACAACTTATTATTATGAATGACTAACTTGTATGTGTAAGAAAATTATCATAAAATTGTCATAACATTCGTTGTTTGTACTACATTCAAATTAACAATTATAAAAATGTTGAACAATGCCCATTCCGAAAAGAGTATACCTTCATTTCATTTAATGTCGTTGCAACAAATTGTATTGAGTCAAATCCACAGATATACAACATGTTCATTATTATCAAATTTGTGTGTCAGAAATAACTGTTACCAACGAATAATGTTACAACACAAAACACAAGTACAAAGTAGAAACTCATCAACCAACGTCAAAATTGTACTCTAACATCAGCTAACTTGACAATTACAATGATTTGGGATATCAAACCCAAAGTGTACGTACAGACTGATCCATTCTATCATTACTATCAAGAATGCATCAGGAGTGTCAAGAAATGATCATGCATTATCAAAAAAATTGGATGCGGATGAAGAAAATTCTAATTTTTTATTCTTTTTTTTTTAATCTTGAAAATGTAGATTTGTGGCAACGTTATTTTTGTTTAAAACAAAGTGATGATTTTTTCGAAATAGGAATTGTTCATCATTTTCATAATTGTTGTTTCTTATGTAGTAGTGCGATAATAGTATATTATATAACAAGTGTTATAAATGTCCTTTTAGTAACGAGTATTTTAGGCACGAGCGGAGCAGAGCGGAGCGAGTGTTTAATAAAAGAGTGTCTAGAAGAGTTTATAAACGCGTTACAAACTATGCTTCTTCTACTAACTCCGAAAATAACATTAACATACCTGCTATTCTTGCTAACCTTCAAAATAATTCGAAAGGAATGGGAATTGTGAACATAATACATGCAACTGCATGCAACCAGCGAGACACTTATTAGTGATATTGGTTGTAGATATGTCCAGTTCATTGCTTACTAACCTTTGTTTCACGTTTATTGTCATGCTTAGGGCAGAATAAATAAATTGTCCTCAAAGATGGATGCTTCATTTTTACACTACTTGGAGATATGCAAGTACCAGAACATTCTCTTTGATTTCACTTTCGTCTACTTTTCGCATATATTTTTAATGAAGAATTCTGATACAAATGAATATTGTTTGAATAATTCTGATACAAAATTTTGAAAATAACAGTTGACTGGCCAGACATGTCTCAAATTGCTGAAGCTCTGTTTAATGAACTGCGTTGCCATGGTAATGTTTTTAAGAAATCGTGTTGCCATGGTAACTTGTTTAATATTTTGAATAAATCACAGATCGACAATCCGTGATTAATCGATCATTTAGCGTGGTACATATCCGTACGCTAAATGCCATTTTAGTTATGTGAGTAGAAAAACAAATTTTATGATAATGTTCTTATACATACAGGGTATTTAAAGTTAGTCATTGATAATAATAATGTGTTCCGAATACGGACAGGTTGAGATCTAAAAATTAAGGAAATGCAAAATAGTTGATGATAGTATGGATTGAAAATGGAAAAGTGCCACTTGGAGACGACAATTTTGTTTTTCAAATTTTGTGCCACCTCATTATTGAAACCTCTAGATTTGACGCTAGTTGAAAGATGAAAAAAATTTATGCGGAAACTCCAAATACATTCAGTCTCACTTATTTTGTCCTGCTCTTCCGAAATTTGTAAATGAGATTTTAAAATATTGATGAACAAGGTGTTGTCTCGACTCGAAACCAACTTATTGATTTTTTCAAGGCCGGCCCTGGAATGAGACTTTTCGTCATTATGTCAATCGTCACCACGGACACGGACACCAAGGACATACAAACCAAATATCAGGAAAATGCATAGGGTGGTTCATAAGTTAGGAGCAATTGAATAAATCACCTTGTATCTTGGTTATGAAGAATGATAGATCTATGAGATATGA